GGGCGCGGCGGGGGCTCCCGTCTTCCTCCCCTGGTCCTCGGCTCCCGCGTCCTCGGGCCCAGCCGCGAGGTTTCAGGGGAATTGTTTTCTGCTCCCGAGGTTTTGGGTGCCACTCGCCCTGGGGCGAGCCGGGTCGGTGGCATCGAAGCCTTCGTGGCCTGAGGGTGCTGGCAAGACAAGCTTGGTGCCCAGCGTGCGTGTTTTGGTTTAGGTTACTTAAAATAGTATCTCAAAAAACGCTCTTCCAAGTTCTGAAGAGGACTTAGGCACCTAGGAGCTTGGAGGCTTTTTGGTGGTGGTTTTTTTTCTTTGTATAATAGAAAGGATTACTGTTTTCAGACAGAGGTTTTTTTGGTGAAAACATCCTGCAAAACAGAAACGTTTCTGTGAGGCTGAGTTTTAGAAATGTAGCCGGGTTTCTTCTCCCCTGAAGCAGAACTCTTCCCTGTAGAAGCAAGGACTTGAATCCAGCTCTGGGTTGGTCTTCCAGAGGATTGTGTTTAGCACTTGGATGAGAAGGTGACCATAGGGAGAAGAAACGGCCAGGTGGGACCATTTTCAGCTCTTCCAAGCTTAATGTGATACATTTTTGCTGGTTTGTGTGTGAGACGCCTCTAAGCAAAATACGAAGTCCTGCACAGAAGAAACCTTCAAGTTGGCGTTGACTTAACACTGCAGCTGGGTGGAAGGGGTGGTTGGGATATACGGTGATTTGGGGTTTTGTTTGGACTATGGAAGACCAACTTTCCTGGTAGCCTGGGCCGTTAGTTAAAGCTCCAAAGTTCGCCTTTGCAAGGTTTGTGATGGTAATGGTACAGTTATCACTGTATTGGACTTGGCTAGTTAATCTTCAGTAATCTGCTATTTCTAGCTGAAGCTAGGTTGGGGCTTTTCCTCCTGTGGCTGTATGAAACACTTGGTGTTGATCAGCTGCTTTATCTCTTCTCGTTCGTGACTGGATTTCAGCCCTGGCAGGAGAGGCATTTCCTCTCCCTTCACGGGAATGTGCTTAAGAAATGTCTGGGAAATAAAGTTGCTTCTGTTGGCTGGGCAGGAAGGAGATCCAAAATGTTAAAGTAGTTGAATACTGTCTATTATAAGAACCCAGGTTTAGTGGTTTCTAAGACACTCGAGCAGGGTCTTCCTAAGTGGCTTTTTGGTGGTTTCTAACTGTAATTTTTCTGACCTTGTGGGCTGAAGTTCTTGTTTCCAGGTGCCTCCCTCAGGGCAAGCGTTTTTGGAAGGCAACAACAAAAAAACCCAAACCCCAAGTCAACAAAGTCAGCAAGCAAAATGAGTGAATCCTAAGTTGCTGTAATTGTGTAACACTCTAAGCAACCTCTCTCTTTCTTACTGGCATGCAGCAGTTGCAGCTAAACTTCCCACCAGGCCTATGGAGCCACGAGGGATTGTCAAAGCCTTTCCCAAGAGGAAGAAGGTGAGGGATGACTCAGGGAAAAGTGCCCCTCCAAAGATCCCAAAAGAGGAAGGAACAGAGATACCTGAGGGTAAGTCTTGCATGCCCATGATGTGGAACATAATACTGCTACCCCAGCTTGTTAACTGGAGGTGCCATTTCCCCAAAGCCTGGAAAGTCTAGCCCCCAGGCGTGTTTTCTGTAGAGGCCATGGCCAGGTTGCTTTGATGTGTCCAGCTGGTGTCCCCCAAAGACTGCCTACCACTGTTGGTGCCATCAAGTCCTATGTGAGATATGTAGCCCAGTTGGTTTGGGACACTGTTTCTCTTGCCACTGAGCTCCTGCCTCTGTGTTTTCCTCAGCAGAGTGGCTGAAACCAGTCACTGCCTACGTGTTACAAGCTGGCATCGGCCAAGCCAGGGCGGAGATCTTCCACAAGCAGATCGTCCAGAATGGGGGTGTTGTACACAGCCAGCTCTCCTTGGAGGTGACACACGTCATTGTGGCTGAAGACATGGACTGTGATCGGGCCTTTCGGCTCCTTAAATTAACCAAACTACCTTCAGGGTTGCAGCTAGTGAAGGCATCCTGGCTAAGTGCTTGCATTAGAAACCAGAAGTTGCTGAGTACTGCTGGGCACACTGTCTTTATCCCTCGCAGGTATGCAAAGGCCATGCTGTCACTCCTCCCTACAGCGCTTCTGTCCTAAACTGAACACGAAAATTTGACCTCTACTCAAATCTCAGACTGCAACTCCTTGCAGCTCCTGTGGGCATGACTCAGAGTCACTTTTTCTCATATAGACTGTGAAATTTAGTGACTTTGTGACCAGTCACCATTCTGCAGGGTAGCAAAAGATGGAATAGAGTCCAGAAGTGCTCACAGGAGTTCTGTCATTTGCTACAGGTGCTAAAGGCACCTGTTTCTAATCCATCAGTGATAACAAGGAGATTTCTTTTAAAAATGTGGAGGATTAAATGCTGTTCCTTACTTAATCTAGATGAAAAGTAGAGAGAGAATTGACAACCAGGCACAAGAAGAAATAAGGAATGGAGCCACAGGTTAGGATCAAAATGTTTTGGCAAAGTTTTGGAGAAAGAGTCTAAGAGTGAGGTAGACAGGAGTGGAAGCTGCAGGTGAGAGAGGTGGATGGAAATTGGGGAATTGAGCCAAAACCAGAGTAATTAATCTGTGATCTGAGATGGTAAAATTCATATGGGTTTTTTGCTCCATCCCAAAACATACAGAAGGATTTCTCAGTCAAACTTCTGGGGGCTGAGAAGTCCTAAGGCATCTGATCCATGGCAGGTACTTGAAGGAGGGAGAACTGCAGAAAGAGCAGCAACAGCAGGTCCTTGGCAGTGAAGAGATCCAGCCCCCAGCAGAGGAGGGAGCAGTGAAACCAAATACTGAAGCACAGGTGGGGGATTCCTCGAAGCAAGGCCTAGGCACCCTTGGACAGCAGCAGCTGACTGAGGTGAGTCTTCCCGCACAGGCCCTTCTCCTTGTGAACAGATCCTATATGCTGCTTTTCTTGGCTACGAGCATCCCTGCAGGGATACAATGCCAAATTTTCTCAGCAAAGGGAAGTCATTTGGATGTTTCAGTGGGCTGATGCTGGCAGGCTCAGGCTGTGGACATGGTTACTGCTTCTCTTTGTCCCTTTTAGATGTTAAAAGTAGAAACAAGACCCCTTAAATTCCTGTCCCCATCAGAACGTTTCCAGCTGAAGCAGTCCCGGTGCTCTGATCAGGCGAAGGCTCATTCTGGTGATCATGTTTCCCTTGTGTCCTTTTGAGGAATATTCCCTGGCCGAGAATATCTCCCTTTCAGGAAGCTGTCTCTGATATTTCATCCCGTGTTCCTGCCTGAGCCATACTGACCCGTTCTCCACTCTTTGGCAAGCACCCTGTTCAGACACATGTGCAGTGGATCAGGTTGCCACTCGAACGATTGTGGTGGTGTGCTTAAAATATCTGTGTGGGGTTATTAGCAGCCTCTGCTGTGAGTCAGCTTCTCCAACCCGCTGTTAGCTTTCTTTCCTTTCTCTGTATTTTTGCTCAAGTTTGCTGAATTCTTTTTGGGCATTGGCATCATTCAAATCTATCTGTAGTGAAGTTACCCCAGACCTCTTAGAGCAGCAGCTGCCTTGTAATGCTGGCATCTGTTTTCTAACGCAGTCCCAAATTTTGTTTCATAAAACCCTGTAGTTACTCCCTAACTGGCAGCCCACTGAGGGCTCCTTTGTTTTAGGCTTTCCTTTGAATATGTGTAGGGGGGGATCTTTTCTCCCCAGACTTACTATCCAGTGTGCTATAGGCAGAGTTGGCTGCTTCTTAACTGCATCGCCTTTGCAGTTACCCCATCTTTGCTATTTCTTGTAACTCTAATTTAGTGGCAGTTGTTATTAAAAAATCTCACACTTAATGGGAGAAATGATCTTTTGTACTGTTACAGATGCTGGGGTATCTGCCCTGCTTTCTGCTCACATTTACTTTGGGTTGTCAGACAGCTGCTAGAGTCTGATGCCTTATTACCTTTTTTCTTTTAAATCTCCTCAAGCAATGATATTTTCTGTCAGTATGTGCACAAAAGCAATATTTGTAGACACTTCAGTAAAATCCCTTGTCCCAAGCTTTGGACTATGTGAGTCTGGGGAGGAGAAGAGAACCCGTGGGATATGCTGTAAAGACAGTACCAACCACTCTTAAGACCCAGCTACAACAGTAAAGCTGAAACTGAAATCTCAGCGTAGAAGTAGCCTCCATTTAAGCACAGAGTCTTTTTGAGCTTGGGTGGATGTTTTTTCTCTAGGAGATGATGAGTGTGCTAGTGTTTCATACTGAACAGGGAGTTCTGCATTTGGATGTGAACTCCTGTGAGGAAACCTTGTTACCAGTCAGACTGTAGACCACTTTGTGACTGGCATCTGGATGCAGTAGGTTTCTGCAAGGCAGCCTTTGCAAGCGGTGCCAGTTATTCACTGCCTGGACCCTGAGGCTGTTACTGCAGGCTGCCTGCCTCTCTCAAGTGGTGTATTGCCTCAGCTACTGGGCTTCAACTGCTATCCTGGCTGTGATCCAGACAAACCATGCATATTGCAGGCTCACCCAGCTCTAGCAAGTCAGCTGCTGTAGGATCCTGGAGTATCTTAGAAGCTAATGGGGCTAGTTGGTTTTGCATGTATGGTTGTAAAGAGTCCATCAGCTTTGTTGGCAAAGTGTAGAGAGTCAGGGATTTATGTGCTGTTTCACCTATGTGACACTGCTGGCTGAGATTGCGTGTTCCAGCTGCTGAGTTCTTTGCATTGTGGTTGGATAACATGCTCAAATGCTTTTAAGGGGCTTACTAACTGATCTGAGCACTCTGAGGCTTTACTGTCCTTAGAGGGAACAGTGTCTTAAGGGAGTTGTGTTTCAAGGCAAAAAAACCTGCTTTAGTCTATCAAATCCTCAGTCTGACCCAGTTTTTCAGAGTTGTAAAACAAGATTACAAAAGGGAAACATTCTTCCTCTTCTGCCTAAAGACTTCAGCTCTGTATCGTGCAGGAATTGTGTGTCCAAACCTCCTTAGCCAGCAGAAGTAGAGGTTGTAAGGATATGGCTCTTAGTTAGGCTGACGCTCTGCAGAAACTCACAAAAGGACTTGAGTGCCACATGTAATTGCTGGACTGATCCCAAACAACCCTGTGCCATTCAGGGTTGCTTCCACAGCACAGAAGCTCTTGGATCTTCATGGACTCCTGTGTTTATACATCAGGAGAGACGGGGACCCCAGTGAGCAAAGCAGTCTGCAAAGCCTCTGTGTGGCTTCCCACTTCTATCCCCTTTTGTTCGTTACCTGAAGCCAAGGCTCATTGTTTCTTAAGTCTACACAGAGGCATCCTAATGCTGAGGATATCAGCAAATGTATACATTGGTTCTTTCTTCTGTCACTGAGGAATGTGGAGTCCTTTGTGTCATTCCTTCCTCCCCCTTTTCTCTTGCAGATAGCCATGGGGAAAATGAGGGGGTTGTAATTTACTACCGTGTTACGATTTTGTGTCTGTAATGTGAAAACAGAGTTTAGTGCCTGTCTCCTGTCATCTGCATCATGGGATGGAAGGTGCAGAGTCTGAATGCGAGAGATGTGTCTATGCAGCCACCAGTCCAGTGAAAGGCTTCCCACTGGGAGTAGGGAGTCAGGATCTCCCCCAGCCAGGGATTTCAACATTGTCATACCGTGCTGCCGGCAGCAGTTACTCACTTAGCCAGTGTCTTACCTCAGTTAGGTCTCAGGGGCTTGGCTATAGGAGGTGTCTGTGTACTTGGATCACAGGTGGACAGCAGTTTCTAGTCTCCTGTGCTTTGTGAGACATGAGTGTAGCTTCAAGGGGTGCATGTGTAGCTTGAAGTGTGAAAAGCTATGGTGTGCATATAACCAACCACTTCTAGAGATGGCAATTTGAGCACTCCATGCCCTGGAGGTTGGTTAGTGTTCTGACTTCCTACTCTCAGGAGCATCCTGTGCCAAGGGGACTATATGTGAGGCATGCACTTATTGTCACATGGCTGCTTTTCTACCTCTCCCTAAAGAAAGACTCTGCTGATGAAGACAGTGAAGGAGAAGATGCTAGTGTTACCCAGGGGGATCTGGAAGCATTGATTTCTGGCTGCTACCCTGTGAAATCATCAGAGGAGACCAGTGACAACTCTTCCACAGTGGCCCAGCCTGCCAGCAAGTGGGTTTGTGCCCAGTCCTCCAACAGCAAGAAGGAGAATCACAACCAATGCATCACAGAGAAGCTGGAAGTGCTGGCAAAGGCCTACTCTGTCCAGGGGGACAAATGGAGAGCTCTGGGCTACTCCAAAGCCATCAACGCGCTCAAGAGCTACCACAAACAAGTCACCTCCTACCAGGTAAAACACCTTCCCAGGGTGGTGGAGCAGGGAGATAGACCCAGCATCCTAGCTCTGTTATAAGCCAGATCCCTTACTCTTTCTGTACATGGAATAGCTTATCTTCAGGCCTTGGGAATTCCTTCCTGTGTGGCAACTTTGATGGAAGTTGTGTAGCAAGTGTGAGCTGGGATTCATTGATCACCTGCAGTGTTTTCAGAACAGCAGAAAAGTGGAGTCCAAGGCTTTTAGTGCCCAGTCTGAGCACTCATGAGATAAATGCCTTGCCCAGGCACCATGCAGGGACATTTTCACCTTCCTCTTGAGCATCAGCAACTGGCCACCATTCAAGATAATATATAAAACTAACTGGATCTGAGCCTTATTGATTGTGACAGTCCAGACGCTAACACAGTGTTAGTGTTTCAGTCCTGTTCTGCATGCTTGTCCTTTTCCACTTGGCATTGAAGCCATGTAGCCTACGTAAGCCTGGGCTAGAGAGGAGACCATCGGGCAGATCTAGTCGTGCCACTTCCCAATCACTGATCAAATGGCTAACCAGGCTCTGAGTGGGTAGCAGCTCCCCAGCTTGTCTGTGATCTTTACTTTTCCAGTAGCAGCTCTGGTTTCTTGCTAGGAAGCCTGTAAAATCCCTGGGATTGGGAAGCGGATGGCAGAGAAGATCCTGGAGATCTTGGAGAGTGGGCACCTGCGCAAGCTGGATCACATCAGTGAGAGTGTGCCCGTGTTGGAATTGTTTTCCCACATCTGGGGAGCAGGGGTCAAGACAGCTCAGATGTGGTACCAGCAGGTAAGTTTAGTGCCTTGCCCAAGAGGTTCTCAGACTATGGTTTGAAGACTGCTGCCGAGTGCAGGAGAATTGCTTTCACAAATATTTCCCAATTGCCAATATCCATGGATGGGATTTGAATCTGGTTTTAAGGGAGGAGCTATGAGGCTGGGTCCCATTGTGGGTGTGTTTGGGGAGAATGGAGTGCACCCGGCTGAAACTGGAGTTTGGGTGGGGGTAGAGGACAAAGATATGTGATAGGGGGAGTGGTGGACAAATTGCCTTTTCCATTAGCATCACTGCTTGGAGGTCATCTCACACTGCTCATAGCAATGACACTGCTAAGAGCCAGGCTTGAACCAGGACATCTTGGCCATGAAAATTCCTCATCCAGTTGCTGGCCTGTTGGCCTGGCTGGCTGCTGTAGCTGTCGGAGCAGTCATCCACCTTGTGTGGAAGTTGTAAAAATGAGGTTGAAGTAATTGTGCCAACAGGAGCAACCCAGCCCACTGGGTGGGTTTGTTCTTTAAAAATAGTTTGTTTCCTGAGCACAGTGCTAATGAAGCCTGGTTTCATGTCGTGTTTGGTTTGTGACTAGATTCTTTGCTGTCTTAAAAATACGGTTGTGTTCATGCTGTAGGTTTTCCCTCATTGGGATATTCTGGGTGTTGTTCCTTTACCTGCATTACTTGTTTTACTTCAAGCTGTAGGAACACAGTGCCTTAAGAACAGTAGCCTTCTGTCAGGTTTTGTTAAGATTCAGAGTCATTGTGGGGTGGAGATAAGAGGTGTATGTGGGTAGTGGGATTGCCTAAGTGATCTCTACATGTGATCTCAGAAGCTGTGACAGGCCTGGACTTGAGACAGGTTAAATACAGTCTCCCTGAATCTTGGTTGAAGGTATTTGAAAAGCAAAGTCTCGGTATGTGTTTGAATATCATCACATGGTCTGCACTAGGGTTTCCGGACACTGGATGATATCCGCACCAAGGCAACTCTCACCAGCCAGCAAGCTGTGGGGCTGAAGCACTACACTGATTTCCTGGAGCGCATGCCTCGGGAGGAAGCTGCAGAAATAGAACAGACCGTGAGTAGCTCGGCCCCAGGCCCTCAGAGTGGAGTTGGGTCCTGACAAGAGGGTCCATGCTGTGGAAATGTCCCTTGCTGTTACAGCTGAGCTCTTCAGCCTCTCCTCTGAGCAGGGTCAGTGCTTGGGGGACCCTTTTTGGGCATGGGCACACAAGGCACCTACTTTGCCCTGTAGGAAGGTTCAGTTTGAGTGCCTGGCGAGGAGGCAGCTACTTCACAGGTGTCAGTTCTACACACTACTTTGAAAAAGGCTGCGTGTGGCGTGGTGGGATAAGCAGGTTCCCAGCTCCTCTTTCCTGCCTCTCATCTTCTCTGAGATGTCTCCTTTCAGCCGAGGCCCCTGAGCTGTCTCCCTGGTGCTGCTTTTTGAAAGGAAGCTGTGAGCACTCTGTGATCTGGTTGTCAGTGGGAGGACAGAACATGGATATCCTTGCTGGAAGTGAAGGGGATCCAGGTTGCAGATGGGTGCTGCTTGCTCTAGTACGCCATGGCACTGCAGGATTATGGGGTGCTAAGCCAGTGTACCCTAATGTGAGCAGAGAGCTTGGGGGACACACTGTCATTGCTACCCCTGTGCTCTCTGATCACCATGGAAGCAGCAGCCAGCGTGACCCTGTCACTCGGCCACAGGGCCTGGCCATGAAGAATACACTCCTGCCAGGCTCCTGCTGGGGTGTCAGTCCCGTGTGCTGGATTAGCCATTTTGGTGGTGAGTGGTCCCTTTCCCAGGCAGGCTGGGTCGAGGAGCTGGCTCTTGGGGGTGGGTCTATTGTTATCTTGATGGGATTACTGCGCTGCCCTCCATACACACGCACACACCTCTGATCCAGGCCCAGGAGAGAGAATGAGGGATTAGTCACTGTCTGTGCTGTCTGTCACAGTGAGATCTGAGGAGCTTTTAGGCTCTCGGGTGGGGCTGGGAGTTTTCTAGAAATCTTCATTTAAAGCCAGAAGGGGGGCAAGAACACCAGAGGAGGGCTTGCTCCGCATGAGAAAGGATTGTGGCTTCTTGGAGCACCTCTGGGGCAAAGGTTAATGGGTTTATCTCTTGCTAATGAAGGATGATCCCCAAGAGTGACAAGGGGCTGTGGGCAAGGACATTGCCTTCCTGAACCCCAGCCTCTGAGATGGCCTCGTCACTGGGGATTGCTGAGCCCCTAATTATTTGCTGCCAGCAGGGTGATTGGCACAATCAGACCAAGAATACTTTACTCCTATCCAAGGACTTGGGAGCCTTTCTTAAGCATTTAATGAATGAAGCCATCAGAATTAGCACTGTCTGCACAAAACAGGAGCTGGGGTCCAGCCTGGAGGTGGCTACATTAGGGGAAGTTCTGATTATGTGTGTCTGATTGCTGGCAGCAGCTTGTTGGCATCCATTCAGTCTAAAATGCTGGGACATTTGTGTTTTTTCCGGGTCAGGAAGCCTAGCTCTCCTGCAAAGGCACAGCTCCTGGCAGGAGTGGACTCTAAGGGACACTTGCAGATTTTCTTCTGTCTTGGGTCCTGTTGGGGAGACTCTCCATAAACCCATCTCTGCTTCTGAAACAGGACCTGTGACCATCTCATGTTGAACTGATTCTCTTTGTGGGCAGAGCTGGTGAGCTTTGCCCTCCTGGCCCACAGGACAGCTGAAGAACCTCTTCTCTCCTGCTGTCTCAGAAGCCAAAGGCCCTGACAGCTTGTGCCATACTTTGCCTCCTCAGCATTGCTGCATCTTCCTGCTTGTCCCAACCCAGTACCTCCAAGAGCAATGACTGATGGTAGCGCCACGGTAGATCATTGTATTGGGTGGCAGTGTGCTGGGCATTTGCAGGACTGGGTGGAGGCCACCCTGGCTCACATGGCTCCTGACAGCAGGCCAGCCTTCTTGGTGGGGCAGTTTGTCATGCCTGTTAAGTGTCTGCTCTGTATGGAGACCCTGGAGATGCAGGACAGTCCACAAGGCAGGCACAAGATCCTTTGTTGCCTTGATGGAAAGGGCATGAAGAGTCTGGTCTCTGACTCCTCACTCCTCTTTCTCTTCTTGGAGGTCAGACAAGCTGCCCTGGCCCTGAAGCCTGGGCTCGTATGTGTGGCATGTGGTTCCTACCGTCGGGGGAAGCCCACCTGTGGAGATGTGGATGTGCTGGTCACTCACCCAGATGGGCATTCTCACCGTGGGGTGTTCAGCAAGCTGCTCGACAGCCTCCACAGGAGCGGTAAGAGGGCTGGGGGCTGGCACATGGTGCTCAAAGCTGTTCTTAGCATGGCCAAGCCAAGGAGGTGATGAGGTGAATGGTACTCATTGAAGGGCAGGTGATCACTTTTCCCAAGGACAGGACTTCTTGTAAGTCCATAAGAGTACTGCCCCTGGTCCTGGCCCTGCTCCAGTGGCAGCTCCGCAGCCAGTGTTAAGGAGGGAGCATTGCTGCAGCTCAGTGTGGCTTCTCCTGTCTGCCTGAGGCTATCAGGGCTGAGGCTGGTTGTCCTTGGGGTCCCACAGCACATTATGAGACACCTCAGCTGCTGTCTGGACAGTGGGGAGTTCAGGGTGGGAGTTTCAGTCTCTACCATTCAGCTCCTCTCTGCCTGTTCTCTCTCCCCAGGCTTCCTTACGGATGACCTGGTGAGTCAGGAGGACAACGGTGATCAGAAGAAGTACCTGGGGGTGTGTCGCCTCCCTGGGCAAGCCCAGCGTCACCGCCGGCTTGACATCATTGTGGTGCCTTACAGTGAGTTTGCCTGCGCCCTGCTCTACTTCACTGGCTCAGCTCACTTCAACCGCTCCATGCGGGCCCTGGCCAAGACCAAGGGCATGAGCCTGTCGGAGCATGCCCTCAGCTCGGCTGTGGTGCGAGGCCCTGGAGGCGTCAGGTTGGCTTCTGGTCGTACTCTGCCCACTCCCACTGAGAGAGATGTCTTCATTCAGCTGGGGCTGCCTTACCGGGAGCCCTCCGAACGGGACTGGTGATACCCAGTTTTCACCCAGCACCCTGGGCCCACTGCCGTGCTGCTGTTTTGAAGGGTGCTGCTTTCCCCCGTGCTGCTCTGTTGACTGCAAACTGGGGAACATATCCCAGCAAACTGGGGCTCCTTGCAAGCACGGGGCCCTGCTGCTGGCAGAGCTGTGTGGCTTCGCCCAGCGGAGACCATGGGCTGGAACCACACTAGAAGCATTGCCTGATGCCTCAGGCAGCCCCTGGCTACCAAAAGGGCTCGCTGCCCATCAGCTACCCTGGCCCTACTCTCCGCAGGGAAGCTTCAGAAGGCTGGGCTGCAGAGCCCTGTGATCCAGCCCCTCCCAGTGCTTGGGAACAGGGGAAGTGGGATGCATCTTCCTCCATGTCTGAGCACAGACAGTCCAAAATCTCTGTCCTGAGCTATGCATGAAGGCAGCAGGGGTCTGGCTTGGCCCTGGAACAGGCCTTCCCCCTTCTCACTACTACTGGCAGCTGCTGCTGTGGGAATCACAAAGGGTCCCCCTATGCTGCTGCTGTGTCCTTCCTCCATCTGAGCTGACTTGTGTCCTCTGATGGGTCTCACTGCATGGGCACGGGCTGCTGTGACTGCCACCAGCTTCCCTTGGTGCCAACTAAGCCTTGAAGGATGCGTACGGACCTGATGAGCTGTGCCTGCTTGCTCTCAGCCTCTCATGTGCCAAGGATCCTCTGATCACAGAGAGCTGTGATCCCCCTGGTCTGGCCCCGACGGCTCCTTTCCTCTCGGTGCAGGAGAGGAGTGGAACTCACAGCTCAGGGAGCTGTGCTCAGGAAGGATTTGAATGTAATGGCACTGAATGTAACCCAGCAGGGCTGTGTGTTCGTGCATAGAAGGCATGGAGGCAGAGAGAAATGTGAAGAGATAGTTGAGTTCTAATTTGGGCGAAGCAAAGTTTTCCCATTTTGTGTGTGTGTAAGCCATGGAGTCATCTGGTCTTTGATCAGAGAAAGTGTGTTTGTGTGAGTTTGTGTATGCATGTACATGTGGCTGGCCCTGTCAGTTCCATGGGAGTGAATTTTATTTCTTGGGAAACGTCAACTATTTAATATTCTGGAGATGAAGTTCCCAGAGACTTTCAGTGCTCTGTCTGTTACGGGTGTTGCGGTGGTTCCTCCTGGCAGAGGTGCTGCTCTGCAGCATCAGCTGCCAGGAATGCCATGGTGGGCGTTTCTGTGCCAGGACCCCAGGGCTCCCTCTGGGCAGTCCCTGGGCCTCACCTGGCCTCCTGCTCCCTTGTCTTGTGGGGCACCCAGCCACCCCCACTCTGCACTCTGCTGTGTCTTCATCACATGCAGTGACAAGCTGCGTGTTTGTTGCCAGGGCAGGCACAAGGGCATTAAACCTGGTGGGTTTGCACAGTTTCTTGCTGCAGTGTCAGCCATGGCTGCTGGGCACCAGTAGTGGGGCTGGGGTGTTTGCTGGGGAGGCCTTGACCCTGGCAGTGTCATTTGTCAGCCCAGCCTTTCTACTGAACACCTAATGGAAATGAATGTCTTCTGGTATGTCTTGGTGCTTTGAGAATTGAAGTATAATAAAACCCTACTATCTTTTTCCTTTGCATCTCTGTCTTCTTGCTCTCTGCCCTGCAACTGTTGGGACTCTTCCCTCTAGCTGAGCAGGAACTGTGCTGGCCCATTTCCCTGGTTTCAGTGCAGGCAGGGAGAAGGCAGTGGAGACCTTCACACTGTTGGATCACCACTTCTGGCTCTCGGGGCAGGGCAGGGAGTTGCTGGCCACCATCCTCCCATGGCAGAGTGGGACCTGGCTCTGTCCCAGCATCCAGCTGGCCATGTGGCTGAGCTGGGGCTGGCCGTGCCCAGAGAAAGGAGCAATTCCTGAGCTCTGAGCCTTGGGTTGAGGTCTTACTTCAGGTGTGGAGTCAGGAAGGGATTGCTGTCAGCTTTTCCACATTTCATCAAACAGTAGGGTATATGGGAGTTGGCTGCTGCTCTGTCTCCTGTTCCGTGCCTTGAACACAGCTCAGTCTCCTGAGCATGGAAATGCTTTGGTTGTCCAAGGGGAATCTGAACAGCCTGGAAGCCAAGGGAGCACATGGAGATGAGCAGCAAGAACGATTGGCTCAAAAGGGAGAGAGAAGCTGGGACAGAGGCTGGGGCAGAGCCAGTGAGGACTGGGCTGGATTATCCAGGAGCACAAAGGGGAGTCAGCCCCAAATCAGGGCCTGGGAGGTCCAGGGGCAGCATTCTCTCCCCAGGAGGGCTGTGCAGCCCAGGGACCAGCCCCAGAGAGGAGGGGTCCCCACCTTGGGGTCAGCCAGGCTTGGCTGGGCAGGGCCACAGCTGGCCTTGTCCAGGGCTGGGGATAGTCCTGCCCCAAAGGGAGGTTGGATGGGGGCTCCCTTTCCCTCCAGTACTGCTGGGATGGTCCCAGAGGATTTGTCCTAGAGCCTTATGGCTGACAGCCCTGGGCACAGGCCTATTTCTGCCTGGACTGGGGCAGGGAGTGGGGTATAGGGCAGCTCACCTTGGTCCCTTGATGAACACAGGTTTGCCTCCAGCTCTGGGTGCTGGGGCAAGCTGTTCTTGGAGGGCAGGGACTGCCCCCTCTCACCAGGACCAACGTGCTGGGGACATCACTGGAGATGTGGGAGATGGGGCACTGCTGGCCCCCAGCTCATTCCCCTTTGTCACCTCCCCTCTCCAGGGCCATAATTCACACTCTGGTGCCAAACGGGTGCTGCAGCAGCGCATCAAAGCCCTGGCCTTGCTGTTTGTGCTGCTTTTACTCGGGGGGAGCCCAGACACAGGGATGTGTGGGGTTGGGGCTGCTGAGGAGCAGGACTGTTCTCCCAACCCCTTGGGAAATGGCAGTGAGGGTGGCCCTAGTGGATACGTGTCATGTGGACGCTGTGGGGGGAGAAGTCCTGCCAGCCCCCTGCTCTGTGAGGGAAGGGGGCCTGATGTCTGTCTGTCCCCACCCACCCCACAAATCCCTGCCCAGGAGCTTTGGAGGGGGCAGAGGGCCCTCCTGTGGCCAGCTGCAGCCAGGTGAGCCCAGGGTAGATAGGGGCCATCTCCCCTGGGTGCAGCTGCGGTGGATGCAAAGGGCAGCAGGTGAAGGAGTACGACAAGGAGCTCGTCCAGCACAGCTGGGGGTGACATTTCTGGATGCTGAAGGCTCCTGCTTGTCCCTCCTCCTGGTGCAAGGGAAGAAACATGAGGGGCTGGACTGTGCTGCCCACTGTGAGTCAGCCCCGGGTTGGGCAGACCCTCCTGCCTTGGATGGAGGGGACAGAGCTGCCCCACACAGTCTCCTCTTTGTGCCCCTAATCTTGCCCTCCATTCTCCCAGTCACTTACAGACCCCAAGCCAGGGGCTACCTCCAGCCTGGCATCTCCTGGGGCCACGTGTTCCTCTGAGACCCCTCTTTTGCCCTTGCAGCAGGGCAGGACCTGGCCACCCCCTTACCCCAGCACACCTTCTGCCTCTCCTAAACCCTGGGATGCCACACTAATGAAGAAGGTACAAGGGATGGGTGTCCTGGGGTGCCTGGGAGGAGGTGGGTGCTGAGTGCCCAGGATGGATGCAGGCAGGGTGAGCAAAGACAGTTTTAGGCATCTCTAATGAGGTGTCACCTGGTTTCTGCTTCCCAGGAAGGGGCTTCGGCTATTCCCCCTCCCCAGCGCACCCCCTTCCAGCCCTCCCTGGCTGTGAGTCTGATCATCCTGAAAATTAAAAATAAACCCAAACGCAGCAGCATTTAGAGACTGAGTGGAAAGTCAGGGAGCTGGGACGGGCACTCGGCTCCTGCCACAGAGCCTCTCGCTCCCACCCCGCCATTCCTGCACCCCCAAAGTGGGTCCAGACTGTGGGCTCAGGCAATTCCTGTCCCTCCCATCAAGCATCTCTATGATCCTTCAGGGTAAAAGGAAGAAAAAGCCTGCGCCAAGTCATTGCAGCTCTCAGCGTTAGGCAGCTCTTCTCACCCTGCTCCCTATCCTGCAGGGAGGACACCTATCCTTAGCTATCATGCTTGTCCTCGGGCAGGGGTGGGAGGGTGCTGGGGCTGGAGGAAGAGGGGTGCAGAGGGGGTGGTTTGGCTCCTAACACTGGTGCTTCTTATTCATGAGTAAATATTTGCTAATGGCAGCACGGCTGGGCGAATGTAAGGGAGCTGCTCCCCCCGCCGGAGCAGGCAGAGAAATGAATATGAATTTATCATGATTAGGTGAACCCAGCAGGGAGAGCAGGAGAGAGAGGGCTAGGCAGAGAGGGGGGCGGGCGAAGATGGATCTGTGCAATAAAATTAAATAAGGACACCAAATAGAGTCACTTCTCACGCGCCCACCCGCCCTCCCGTATGCAGGGCCTCTCCCACCTCCCGCGCTCCTCTGGCTTTGCTGATTTCTCTCTTTCCTCAAATTTATGAGGCCAATTATGAAGATGAGGTTGGAAGTTCTCGGAAGTTCACTAAATGCAAAGTGCGGTCCCTGCTGTTCCCATCAAATTAATTAACCAAGCGCTATTGATGGCCAGGGCGACATCGGCGTGGCATGAAGCATGCAGGAAGGGCTGCTGGGGTGCAGCTGAGGGGGGCCTGGTTGGGGGCAGACCACCCTGCGGGGCATCCTCCAGGCCAGCAGATGCAGAGGGGGACCCCTGTCTGGGCAGCTGGTGGGCAGCAGGAGCGAGGGACACAGCAGGGCATGCACCAGGACCTGGTGTCAATGCTTGATGTCACAGTCTCTGTTTCCAGCACTGGCAGTCTCCGGCTGGAGGAAGATCCACCTGAGTGAGGGCAGGGCTGCCCTGATGGGAAGATGACGTGGATATGTGGCAGGATGCTGTGCCATATCCCGTGGGGGAGGCCACAGCAGAGGATGGTGGTCAGCATGAGCCTGTGTCTGGAGGATTAAAGCCTGGAGCTGGTGCCCTCTTGGGCATCCTAGGATCATCCTCCAGTTGGGCAGGGGGGATGCTGACGATGATAACCCATGGGGGTGGCCTGCACAGGACTCTCATGCTTGGTAAACAAATGACTTTCCTTATGGCTTAGAAGTTATGGCGCAGCCAGGACAGGTCCACTGCCACCTTCCCCTGTTGCCAAAGTCCCAGCAGCCCTCCATGCCTCAGTTTCCCTACCTGCACTATGGGAAACAACCTGCCTGTAACTTGCAGGTAAAATCTCATGAGCGGAGTGCTCTGATCTGACACAGCCCCTTGGCCATCCCTAACCTTTGCATGAAGCAGCCTGGCTCTATGCAGGGTTCAGGGAGAGGGTGGGTGGCTTCACAGTGAAGGGCAGCAACCATGTGCCTAAAGCACACCAGCTCTTATGGGGCAGCTCCTGTGCCTGAAGTAGCCATGTCATGTTCGCCC